TATTCTGCACTAATTGTAGCTGAAATTCTAAATGTTTATTCAGAATTAAATAGACCAACTATTAAAACTTTAATTTTAACTCTTGGAACTTTGCTTTTTTATATTTTATCTATTTATTTTATGAAAGGAATACTTAATATGTCAGCTCTTAATGTCGAATTTGCTATTAATATTGGCATTATTACTTTAGTTACTTGGGTTCCTTTTCAATTATTTAGGATTTATAAGAAATACAAAAGACCTGATGATTATTAGACTATTATGAAATTAGTAAAATAATAATAATTGATGGAATAAAGAAATGAAGATTTTGAAAAATAGAATTAATAATAAAAAGAAATTAAATGATTATAAAAGTTTATATCAATATAATTATATATTTTATATATTATTTTTTTCTTTAAATATTTTTTTATATTCTTATCACTTATATATTCATTATAATTTTTTTTTTTTTTTTTTTTCATTAATATTAAAATTATTATATATTTGTTTATTTTCTCTTAACTTTGAAAACTTTTCTAGGAACAGAAGTTGTAATAATTTAATTTTACTAATTTACTACTTAACCCTAAACTCTTTATATTTACATAATTTATTCTAACCTTTTATAATTAATTTCACCTAAATTTTCAATTAATCCTTTAAAATTAATAAATCCAACATCTTTAATTTACATAACTCTTTTCTAAAAGAAAATAAACTCATCGATATTTTCAAAAGGATTCTTATAATATTTTAGAGTAAGTAAATCTTCTTATAAATCTTATTATAAATATTCATCTTCTTCTTATTCATCTTCACTTTCATTTAAATCGTCAACTTCACCAACATTATCATCACTTTGCTCTTTTTTTTAATTATTTATTTTTTTTGTTTCTTCCAAAGCTTAAATTTCTAAAAAATTAACACATAAAATTAGTATTTTTTCATAATATTTTTTAATAAGCTCATCCATAAGATTAACATCATGTACAATTATTTAACTAATTGTCAAAATATATATTTTCCTATCATAGTTATTTACAAATGAATTATAATTTTCACACAAAAATGTAAATAAAAATTCTAATTTCTCCAATTTTTTCAAAACATTTTAAACTTATATAAATCCTTTATCAGTTGAAAGACCCAATAATATAATTCCTATAATTCTATTTGCAAAGAAGGCATTTTTTATTTTTTTTTAAGACAATTATTCCACACATTTGCTTATTATAAAATCCCATTATTCTGTATTCAATAGATCACTATAATTTTGTATAATTAAATGAAGTAAAAGAGCTCCTTAAGCTCTATCTGACTCTGTTAGATAAATATCTCCTGAGATTGGTATTGTTATGTTCAAAATTGCCATTTGTATTATACTTTCTAAAATATTTAAATTGCTTTTTATTTAATCTATACAGCGTATCAATGCGTAATTTAATGTTTTAAACATGTTTCCAAATGTGTATTAATTTCTTTTAAAGGTCTCTGGAATATATATAAGTAGTTAAGTTATTATTGAGATAGTATAAGATTATTATGAGTTTTTAAATATTTATTAAATAATTGATTATATTATATCATCTAATTCTAAATTTTAATTTTTTTAATTTTGAAGAAGACTTTAAATAGGAATTTATAACTTTTATATTATCTCATTTTCTTGTGATTAAAAAAGTTCTTTTTTAGAACAAGTTGAATTAATTATATTTAATAACTAATATTTTTAGTATTTTATTTAATAAATTTTTTTAATTTTTTTTACTTTGTCTATATATATTTAATTTTAATCATTTTAATTAGAATTCTCACTTAATTTTTGGTTGAGACTTTATAAAATTCCTTCAAAAATTATATTTGTAAATTCTTAAGAATTTTATTTTAATTCATCTGAATACTATCTTTTTTTTATTTAATAAAAACCAAAATATATATAAAAAAAAATTATACAAAATAATATTCTGAATTAAATCATAAACCTCTACTGACTAAACACCAAAAAGTGTGCATTAAATTAATTTTTCAAGTCCAAAAATAATCATTTTTTTCATTCTTTCACCTTCTTATTTGTACATTCCTTCTAAAGCTTAAACAGCAGCAAAGAATAAAGCAGGAGGTTGAACTTGTAAAGGAAAAAGGAACTAAAATATTAAATCAACGCATTATTAATAAATAATAAAAGAATCCCAAAAAATAAAACTTGAATAATTTTCAAAAAAAGCAGCAATTCTGCATTTTGAAAGGATACCAACTTTTTTGAAAATCCAACCATTTTTTTCTATAAAAATTTCTATTTTTTATATTAAATCTTCCCTTTCAGAAACTACATAAGAAATATTTGCTAAAATAAGCATTGATGTTTCGATTTAAATTTCTTCGAAATTACTAATTTATTATTATTACTTATTATTATTTTCACAAACTCTTTCACATATTTCTAAACAAGTATTTACTACACAAGATACACTTCCATCTATAAAATCCAAAAGACTCTCTAAAAACTTTAAAGCGCCAGTTTTAGCGGAATAGCTGGTTTATCTATTATAACAATCGACCTAAAAATTTACAAATTCACTTGGGGATAATTCTAATTCTTCTTAAGTAGTAAAAGAAGATGGGTATATTATATATAACAAACAATTCTTTAAATTTTAGCTGTAAAAATCATAAAACTCATCTTATTAAGCACAATTAGAAAGCATGAGAAGCATTTCTGTGAATAAATTCTTCGGCAAATTTTATCCCAAATTATATATATTTTATTATTGGTTTCTAGCGTTTTCTTCAAGTAATTCATAATATATAGAAGGTATTATTTTTAGTTATAAAAAAGGTAAAAATGCACTTTTTTTAAAAGAAATTTTCGTGCGATTCTCAAAAATAAAATTTATTAATAAACTAACAATTTTCATTGCTATTTATTTTGAATTTTCTAATATTTATTCTTCTTTTATTATTATTTTTTCCCCTGTTTCGAATATCTTATTTATAAATATTATATTTATTAATGTTTAAATAAATATTTTGTCATCTATTATTGTTTCAATAGTTTAAAATATCTTTTTTTTGCAAAATTATTTAAGAATTTTCAGTAGAGATTCTATCCATATATCTATAAGTTAAATACTGTTTTTAATTGTAAATATATTTTTTTATAAGAGTAAATATATATTTTTTACATTTCATTTTTATTTTCTGGTTTTATTAATTTTATTAGTTTGTTATGAATTTAATAATAATTTATTATGAATTTATCATATATGTTAGATAAAAAAAATGCATTTTTATCCTTTATTAAAAATACTTATAAGCATGCTAAACATGATTCTATAAATTAATGTTCTTCTTATTAGATCCAATTTAATATTTATTGAAAAATTTCATTCCTTAAGGTGCTTTAATGATTATAGTTTTCAATAGATTCTATAATCTAGGTAAGGCTATAAGAAATTTAAAATTTTACTTTTAAAGAAAGATTTTTTTTTGTTAAAGAGTCCATTAATAATATAACCCAGTTCTGTATTTAATCAAATTATTTGTTTTCGATTCTTAATAAGTTTATTCTCAAATATGTATTTAAAAATGTGGCAGCAGATTCTTTTAATAAAACTTTTTTATAAAAATTAAAATTATAGTTTTTTTTATTTATATTTTACTTTAATTTTAATCACAATTAATTATGGAAAGTATGTTTTTAATAAAGAAAGGATCATTTTGCATTATTGATTATAATTCAATTTCAGAGATTTTTTATTAATCAGAACTTTTTGCATTAGATGTATAGTATATTAATTGTTTTAATTATTCTATTTAATTCATTAATAAATAATTAATATTTTTTATAAATAAATCTTACAAATTTTATATAATATAATAAAAAAAATTAAAATATTTATTAAAAAAAGATATTAAAAAATATAATAAAATATGTAAATTAAAAAAAAATGAAATTAATATTAAATAATAAGACTAAAAAATAAATATAAATTACATTAAATGTTTTACAATAGTTATGTTATCTGTGTATCGATAATAAAATAAATATTTATTTATAAAATATTGTATCTAAATTAAATAAATATTAATTTAATTTAATTTAATTTAATATAATTTAATATATATATATATAAATATTTATTAAAAGTTTATAAATCTTTATATTAAAAATAAAATTAATTTTTTTTGATAGATTTAATAGTATAAAAATAATAAAGTATTATTAAAAAAAGCAACTCTTATTATTTTTTTAAAAAGAAACAGTGTTTTATCAATCATTATTTTTTTTTTTATTTTTTTAAGATTTTTATTATTTATAAATTAAATAAAGTAAAATAAAATAAAATAATTTTTTTTTTTATTTATTTTATATGTATTAATATTTTTAACTTTAATTTTTCTTTATAATTATTTCAAATAAATTTTTTTTTTTTTTTTTTAATTTTATTCATTTTTTTATTTTTTTAATTCATTTTAATAGTCTATTAATTTACCCTCTTGTTAAATTTAGTATTACTTTAATATTTCATTAAATTGATTTTTTCTTTCAATTTTCCTTTGAATCCTTTATAATTCTTCGTTTCATTTTTAATCTTTAGATTTTCTAATAGAATTGTTAATTTTGTCAACATAAGGAGGTTTTTCAATCAATACTTTCAAAAACCTTTTATTTATTTTTTTATAAAATTATTTAGTATTAATATATTATATTTATATTCTTTTCTTTAAAAATTTTATTTTTACGCTTCAGAAACTTCAGTCACTCCTTCAATAATCTTTTCTTATTTTTATGTTGAAATAGTAGTAAAGTAAATGTGTTTTGGATCCAAGCTTTAAAGTAAAAGTAATAACCATTCTTTAGGAGGTAAATTAAATATATTAAAATTTATAACCTATTAATTATTACAATAATTTGAAATTTCAGATAATATATCTTATTTTTTCTAATTATATATATTTAAACATAACCATCAATTTTTGATTTTACAGGACAAGTTAACTATGCATTAGACATTTATATTAAATTTTTTATGGAAAATACTTTTTTATAAATTTTTAAAGGAGGTAAAATGTAGCCAAGTTCTGTCATTTTATAATAACAGTTATCATAGTTTCTCAATAGTTTTATAAGTCTGTATTATTTATCTTCTACATTTATAATTTTTTTATATTAATATATAGTTAATTTAATAAATATTTTATTTTCTTTATAATTTATTAGTTATGGAATAAAATAAATTTAATTAAAATTAATTTATTATCTAATGAGTGATATTTTTATTGAAAATAAAAAAATATATGTTTTTCTTATTTTTTTATATTTTAACCTTTAACCAATCATAATCTTTTAATTTTATTATTTCTTGGAAATTGCATATTTTCCCAGAAAATTAAAATAATTATTAAAAAATAAATTATATATTTGAAATAATAATAACATTTTATTTTTTCATGTAATTTAATTCAATATTATTTCATAAAAAATTTTATTATTTATTTACAATTTATTATTTTAGAAAGAAAACATTTTTATTAAAAATTACATACAAATTTTAATAATATTTTTACTATAAAATGTCAAAATTAAATAATAAAACTAATGATAAAAAAAATTAAAATTAAACAAACAAAGAAATAGTTTCTTTACCACAAAGAGTTTCCGAAATAATTGATTCTAAAATGGAATATAATGAGAAAAAACTCTCTCTTAGTAAAGATACTGATGCTTTCATAAGATTTGAATTTTTTTCTGAAATTCATGAATAAAATATTTTTCTGGAAAATTACTTTGAAGCTCTCAAAAAAAATTAAAAATGACTTTAAATCTTAAAAAACTAAATAATAAAAACCTTAATTAACTAAAAAATTAATAAATAATTTACTTAAATTCTAAAAAATATAAAAAGCTTCTGAATTATTAAGCTAAAAACTGAATAAAGGATATATAAAGTACAAACTAGGTTTGAAAAATAAAGATATTTAATTTGCCTAAACAAGAATGCTAAATTAAGATTAATTTCTTAAATACAAAAGAGGAACACCTTCTAAAATAACTTAAGAAATGTCTTAGTATATTGAAAAATATTTTTCCGATAATCTAAATAAATTTAAACCTTTGAAAAACTTAAGGTTGGAAATTTCATAACAGTTTAAGTGTAAAGAGGATTTTATAAGCATCAAAAACTTAACAAATCATATTAAAAAAAAATTAAAATATTCTTATAATATATCACAAAAATAAAAAAAATAAAAAAATACAAGTGAAATTATAAATGAAAGATATCATTTTTTGTAAAAATTAATAGAACTTTTGCTTTAGAAAAAATAAATTTTTTACTTGGATTAGACATCTAATAATATTTAAAATTTTTAAAAGTATGGTTGGAATAAAAAAGGTGAACCTTTAATTATCAAACAGTAAAGCAAATCAAAAAACTATTCACTAATTTCTGGAAGTTCATACAAAGAAATTATACCTTACTTTATTGTTTAGGAGGATTTAAATGGTAACATATTGCTTATTATTTATATGATATTTATTAATTTTTACATTAAAAATATGATGAAGAAGATATAATTTATGTTCTGGATTAAGATTAGGTTCACAAATCAAAAGCTTTAAAGAAAATTATTTAAAATACGCTTAATATAATAATGCTTCCTAGATATAGTGCTTAATTATTTATGATAGAACTTGTTTAGAGTGAATTAAAAAAAGATTTATTTAAAAATTATATAATAAATGAAAAACAACTATTAAAAAATAATTATTTATCTTTTAAAAAAATTAAATAAAAACATTTATGGAAATATTTTTGCCATACTATTAAATATCTCGAGCTTAGTCTTAAAAAAGAATAAATATAATGAAAATTAAAAAACAAAAAAACAAAATAATATATTTAAAAAAAAAATGAATTTAAAAAATAAAAATTCAATTAAAAATATTATAAAAAAAAATGATTTCATAATTATACAAAAAAAAAACAAAAATTATACTTAAAAAATAATTTTATTATAAATTAGAAATAAAATAAAAAAAAAAAATTACAGAAGAAATAAGGTAAATAACAATATATGTATATATATATAAATATAAATATATATATATATATATATATATATATATATAATTACATATGTATAATACATATTAATATATATTTATTTTTTATTTATTTATTTATTTTTATTTTTATTTTTAATTTTAATTTTATTTTTATTTTTATTTTTTTTTTATTCTTATATTAATTTTTTTATTTTCTTTATTTTTATTTAATAATTTTTTTTTATTTTTAGTTTTTACAATTAATAATTTTTTTTAATATATTAAAAATTAAGAATGATATATTTATATCTTAATAATTTTTTTTTCTTTAATTTAATTTTCATTTAAATTTATTTTAATAGTTTATTATAAAAATAAACTATATAAAAAATTTTTAACTTTATTTATTGATTTCTTTTAATAAATAAAAAAAATATTTTAACAAAGTTTATATTAATTTCTAATAAAATATAGATAAAAATTTAAAATATATTTTATCAAGATATATATATTTTTAATATAATTTTATACTTTTTATAATATATTTTTTTTATAATAATATAAAGTAAAATTAAAAAACTTAAATATTTATTTTATATGCGTAATTTATATATATTATAAATATAAATTTACAAAGATTAAAACTAAAACTTTTTTTGTTTTTAAATATTTTTTAAAAATTATTAATGCAAGTAATTTCTATTAAATTTAGGATATGATATATTGTTTATTGTTTTTCATTTGAAACAGAGATTTTTTATTAAAATATAAATTTTAAATAATTATAAAATTACTTTTACAAAAATTTTACATTAGTTTTATTTAATATTTTTAATGTATTTTTTTTTAAAAACTTAATTAACAAAAAAAATATGAAAAAAAATGGATAATAGTCTGTTTTTTTTTTTGATTTAGTTTTTTAAAAAATAAAAAAATAATATGAGCATCTAATATTTAATATTCTATAAATTTAAAATGTTATTTATTTAATTTTTTTATGTTATAAATAATAATAACTTAATATTTTTTTAAATTCGATTTTTTTTTTTATTATTATTTAATGTTAATTGATCAACTTAAGCATGTGAAGCCTTGTGTTGATTACGGCCTAGTTCACACAATCAAATCTTTAATATTTTTATTTTCTGTTAAAAATTTATAAAAAATTCCGAATATATAACACTAACTTTAACCTAATTCCAGTCCTAAAGCTTAAGCTAAAGCTAATGCTAACGCCACGCCACGCCAATATTATTTTTATTATAAATTAAAATAATAGATACATAAATTAATTATTAAAATAAAAAATATAAATCTTTAAAAATAAATTTAAAAGTTTTTGGAGGTTTAAATACTTTTAGGCTATAAAATATGATTTAGAATTTTATGTTTTGATAAATTATAACGAAAAATGAGAAACTAGGTTTTTCATTTTGATATTAAAAAAAGAAAAAAAAATCAATATTTTTTGAGTCGAAATTTTCGTGAATTGCCTAAATTTTATTACTTAAATAAAATTATTTTAAAAACTATTATTTAATAATTTGAGATTTTATTTATACTATTGTTATAAAATATATTTAATTTTAATGATTTAATGCAATTTTTTAAATTTTAAATCATTTCTTTTATAAATATTATTTAAAAATAATCCATTTTATAATAAAAATAACTTTTATTATTCTGATATAATAAATGAATACCCCTATATATTTTTTAAGGATAAAAAACCTTGACAATTTTTTCATTAAAATTATTAAGTAAAATACTTAAATAAAAAAAAGTTTTCATCAAACCACATTTAGAATATCTTTTGAAAAATAATAGTAATTTATTTTCATTAGTTATTTAGTTAAATATATATAATCTTTAAAAAGATTTTTTAAAATAAAATAATTTAGTAATAAAGATTTTTAAATTATAACATATTAATTTAATTAATAAGTGATTAAATATTTTGAGAAAATTATATCATAACAATTTAATAAATTATATATGTTTTTATAATAAATGTTAGTTTATTATAAAGGGAAAATAATAAATATAATATTATAAAAATAATTAAATAGTATATAATTAATGAATTTAATGATTTAATCATTTAAAAGATATATTTTTATTAAAATTTGAAATTACATATTGATTATATACATTATTTAAACCATTACTTATTTTAATATATTTCTTTTAAATTTTTTTATCATGTAAATAAACTAAATTTAATAATTAAAATGCTTAACAAAAATATCTAATATTATATATATAAAAATATATTAAATTTTTAAAATCTCAATAAAAAAATAAAATCCTTTTTACCATTTTCTCTCTCTTTTTTATGTTTATTGAGTTTTTATAAAAATTAATGAAAAAATTCTAAAAAAAATATGAAAAATTGATTTATTGAAGAAAATTAATAATAAAAAATATTCAATTTAATTATGAGTATTTTGATTTTATTATTTGTTAAAAAAATGGTGTTAAAATAATAATGAAAGATAGATTAAAAATATTAAATAATAAATAAAGAAATTAATTTAAAATATTATTTATCATTTTATTTAATATTTATTTTCAATTTATATAATTAAACAAACATGAAGAATGAAGAAAAAAAAATTATGTTTTAAAATATAAATATAACTTTTATTTATAAAAAATATAACTAAATATTTATTATTCATTAATTATTAATTATTTTTAATTTAAATATAAGAAAATAATTGATTATAAATTAAATATATTATTTTATAAATAAAAATAAAAACTCTTTTTAAATTTTATAATTAATTTAATAAATAATAAAACATATATAAATTTATTATATATACTAAGAATAAAAAACAGAATTTTTAATTTATATTAAATAATTTTATACATTGCAATTTTTTTAAATATAATTTTGTCGAAATTTTAATCTCCTTATTTCTCCATTCTAATTTTTTAACATATTTTTACATACCTATGCTTTGCCATATCTCCAAATTCTATTTCCATATATATTTTAATTATAATTTCTTAAATATTTTTTATGTATTTTCTATTTATTCTTACTGTAGTAAAAATTTAATTATTATATTTATATATTAATTATGAAAACAAATATAAAAAATCAAATTATGCATTCTAAAAAATATATACAAGAAGAAAAAGTTTAATTATAAATATATGTATATTTTATTTATTTTTAATATTAAATATAATTTTATTATTTTAATTTATAATATAAAATAATTTATTTTTCTATAGATTGTTTAAGTCATATTCCCATATATTTTATATATTATAACATAACATAACAAAATAAAAAATTATTTATATAATTTTTTTCTTTAAATTATTATTTTTAATATGATTTTTTATAATTTTTAAACTTTTTTTTCTATTTAATATTACTTATGACCTTTTAATTTATAATTTTAACTAAAATTAATTTAATAGGATTTTTAAAATATATAATATCTTAATAATATAAACTTTTTTTATTAAATAAATATATTTAGAAAAGGCTATAAGTAACTTATTCGAAATAAAAATAGAAAAATTAAAAAAATAAATTATAATTGAAAAAAAAAAATATAGAGAAAAAAAATTATTAAAAAAAAAATATAAATAGGAAAAAAGATATAATTAATTTATATAATCTAATTATTATAATTTGAAAAAAATAAAAATGAAACCTTGTAGACAAAATAAAATGTTTGTGCCTAAAGTCGGTAAAATAGACTAGAATAGTATAATAAATAATTCTTAATAGCAAGCATATAATACCTAAACTTAAAATATAGTATATTTCAAAAAATATTTTAGCTTATATTTTATTTGATTTTTTTTTTTTTTGATTTTTATACAATTTTTACAATATAAACAAAAGAAAATTAAAATAAAAAGAAAAAATAAATTTAAAATTATATATTAAATATAAGTATTTTCTTACTAAAAAAATAAATAAAGGTTTTACTTAACTAAAAAGAAAAATATAATGATGAAAAAAATTAAGAAGTAGGAAATATTATTAATATTTAAAATTCTCCTTTAATAATGAGCAAGTATAAAGAAACTTTAAAAAATTAGAATGAAAAAACAACATTAATAATTAATAGTTTTAATGGAGAAAACTAAAATGAATAATAATTGTTTCCAATAAATAACTTTTAAATAAATTCTACAAATAATGAATATAATAAGTAAATGTAAAAATGCAATTAATTAAGTAATACTTTAGAATCAATATAAAATCAAGAATTATAAAAAAACTTGATCATTTAAAATCCTTCTTCTTAATAATATTAATTGCAAAATTCATTTTGCAACAATAATTTTTTTTTTAATTAAATTCAGTCAAATATTAATAAAAATTTATTGTTTAACAATAATTTCATTTTAAATTAAAATAAAAATAATAGAAGTATTATTATTTCTTAAAATAACAGTAATTTCAATATACCTTCTTTTACTAATATTATGAATTAAAATAGTATACATAATAATTATTTTTATTATGATTTTACGTTAATTATATTATATATCGAAAATAGATTTATTTTAATGGCAAAATTGCTAAAGTATGTTCATAAAATAAAATCTATAAGAAAAAACCATTTTATGGAATTTGTAACCTACTGTTTTTTTCAATAATGTAATAAAATAATTATTATAAATTGATTTACTTTTTTATTTTAGTTAAATAATTCATAAATTGAAATTTCAGTATAAATGGATAAAAATTTCATTTATGATAAATAAATTGGATGGAATTGGCATAAAAGTTGGATTTTACCGAATATTAGTGTTAAAATTAATGTAAAAAAATACATGATTTTATATATTTTTATTCATTAATTATTAAAGGATATTGATTATATTTAAAGTCATTAATAAATATTACTAAAAAATACTTTTGCGTAACTATTTGTAGTTAAAAGCAGTAGTAGAGACATTAATAATATGCATATGATAGATATAGGAGTAAAGGGAAGTGATACGTTAAATTTTGAAACAGGAAAAGCAACATTTAGTGGTATAAAATTTTCTTCTACTTCATATAATAATGATGTATTTAGTTATTATTATTTATATAAATATATTCTTTACTTATAATGAAATATATTCTTTATTTAGGGACTAAACTTTTATATTATTATCACTATATTAATATAAAATCAAAACGATCCACATCCTAAAGTAATCTAATCTAAAATATCACCTCCAATATTTGTAGATTCTAGAAAATCTGCAAGGGAAACCTAGTATATAAAATAAGATATAAAAGTTAACTCATTTTATGAATTATTTAATCCTGAGATATTCGATAAATAATTAGCAAAAAGAAAAAAAACTGAAAAAGAAGAAATTATCAATAATATATATGGATTTATTAATTATTTTACTGCTCCAAATATAAGAAATAAAGTAAAAATTAAATAAAAAGTATATATTTTAAATTTATCATGTATAAATAAAAAAAAGGTTAAACATCCATTTTTTTTAAGTGTTAAATTTTCTAACTGTATTAAACTATATTACAATATAGAATAATATTAGTAAAATGATAATATATAACAAATAGTTTTAAAATCACTTTAAATCTTCTAATAATATGGGAAATCTAAAAATAATCAAAACATAAAAAACATTAAATAATAATGTTGTATAGATAAAATAAACCAAAATGCATATATGACTTTAGTTATAGAACCTAATTAAGAAAATAATAATTTAATGAATAAAAAAGTAAGATTAATATTTAAATATTTATATAATAATTATAGTCTATATAATTTTTATTTATGAAGATAACTGAATTGTTAGGACCTTTTGAAAATTAATTAATAAATGTTATTTTTAATAAAAAATAATTGCCTTTTAAATTTGTATATATTAATGAAATTTATGAAATTAAAAATAACTATGAACAATATTATAATAGTTTAAATCCTTTATAGAAAATTGAAAACAATTAAGATATTTAATATAATAGTAAGGAAGATAAATAATCTGATTAATAAAAAATTTTGAAAAATTAAAATAAATTAAATTTTGATTTTGATTTTAAATAGCAATAACTTAAAAAAAATGAAATAAAATTAACTACTATTGACAATTAGGAGTAAAATAGAATTCATGAAAAAGAATGTAATGATTCTGATAATTAATAAGGTAAATAAATTTAAAATTCTGATTTAAATACTAATAAAGCTATAGAAATTAATGCAAATAAATAAGAAAATGAAATAAAATTAAATGAGATTATATCAAAATAAGATAATATTTAATAGTCGAAAATAAGTTCTTAATAGTAAATTTAAGATGTAAAATAATCATAATAATTATTACAATAATTATTTTAATTATAATAATTTGCTTAAGGTTTTAATTTTCAAAAATTATACAATTACAATATTTGAAATTTTTATTTATTTAATATACTTATATATATTTTAATGTATTTATTTAGTATACTTATTTTAATTTTGCTTTACTTAATTTATTTTGTATTTTTAATAAATATTATAAATTTATTATCGTTTACTATAAAAAAGATATTTTATGAATGTTTTTTATATTATCCTCTTAATATATTTTTTGTGAATGAAAATTTATAATTGTGTGTTTATGAAAAAATAAAAATAAAAAAAAGGAAATATTTTTAGTTTTTATATAGTGTTTGATCACACATGTTATAATTCGAATCAAATGTTCTAAATGTTCTGATATTTTTTTAATTTTTTTTTAAAAACTCAATCAAATACAACAAGAGAAAAGCAAGTTTTTTTTTAAAAAAAAATAAAAAAAATGAAAAAAACACCAGAACAAATAATATATCATAATACCAACCATCATAAACCTATTTTTTTAGGAAATTAAAAAGCCTTTTTTGTACCAAGGTCAATGGAAACAAATAATAATTCTATTAAGTAGAAAATCGTAAAGTAATGTTTTTTTTATTTATTCTATAATCATAAAACATATTTAAATATGTGAAGTAGTTATTATAAATAAGACTTCCAAATTATTTGTATATAAACAAAAAAATAAAAAAATATTTAATACTTATATAGTATTTTTTATTTAATTTAGTGGTGGAACGAACTTCATTTATAAATTTTTTTAAATTTACAAATCATAAAAAGAAAAAATTATTTCTAAATAAAAATTTATTAAATAATATTTTTAACAAACTAATAACAAATTTATAAATAAAAAAATATTATAGTATCAATAATTAAGAATTATCCATTTATAAATAAATCTATTAAAAAGGTTTTAATAAATTAAGATACAAATATTATTATTATTTTTTTTATTTTTTTGAAAAATGTTATAAACATTTTATATTTTTGTTTTATATATTTTCATTTTAAAATTAAAAATCATTAAAAATAAATTAATTGATTCAGTTTGTAAAAGTAATAAATTATTTTAATTAAGGTAATTATTTTCTTCCTATAGCAATTAAATATTCTACTCTATCTTCATTTTCTACATTACTTTATTATTCAAATTCATTTTTAACTTACTTTACTAAATCCTTTCTTAATTCTATATCCCTTTATTAATAAGCTAATTTCATAAAATCTCTATAAAGCAATCTTATTTTTGTTTTTTAAATAAAATATCTTAAGCTTTTGTGTTTGTGCATTTAATTTATTACAAGATTATATTTTTTATTTTAATATTTTTTATTTTAGAAAAAAAAATTATTCGAAATTTGAATAAATAATTATAAAAACAAAATTTATAAGATATCATTTTTAAAAAATATTCTTTTTATTAAAAATAATTTATTTTATAATATATAAGTATTTTTAATTTATTTTTTATAAAATATATTTTTTCGCAAACATTAAAGCAATAGTTTTAATTTTGAAATAAAAAAAGTTTTATGTATATGATTTCTTAATTAAATTAAAGTTTTATTATTTATATTATATTAAAAATATTTATTTAATAATTAAAATTAAATTAATATTAAATTATATAATTATAATTTTATAAAAAACTATTCAAAAAAAAGTATAATAAAATGGCTGATAAAAAAATTTTTAGAGAAATTGAGGGTATTTTCGGTTGGATTAAAAAAAGAAATAAATTAGAAAACGGTGTCAAAGATGAAGATGATGATTATTATGATGTAGAAATAGATTCTAAACAATAAATATCAGAGTTTTTTAAATTCTTAGATTTAGATGCTACAAAAGTATGATATAAATAATATAAAATAAAATATATCTATAAAAAAATAAATAAATAATTTTTTAAATTTATTCATTGATTAATAATTGATTTAATTTAATCTAAATAAATAAATAAAAAGGAAGAAATAAACGCATTAAATGAATTAGCATTAATTAAAAAATAAGAATAAATAAAAAGAGGAAAACATGTAGATAATAAGCATAAAGATTAATAATAAGAAAATTAATTTACATATAAAGACTTACTAAGAGTTTTTATTCCAGATGATGACTTAACAGAAAAGTAAATAGAAAACGATTTAGAAAAAGAAAAAAAATAACTCATGAATGCATTTAAAATACTAACTCCAGATAAAGTTAGTGATAATATTTCAATGGATAGACTTAAAAAAATGATATTTACCTATGAGAAATAATATACCGGTGTTAAAAATACAACAGATTAAAAAGAAATTGATGTATATATTAAATAATTATTATATATGAATATAGTTTTTTTATAAATAATATATTTTATTTAATTTTTATATATAAATATATTTTATACATAAAAATTAAGAAAGCCATGACTAAAATAGATGAAATATTTAATGATTTATAATAAGAAGCTGATGAGAATGGAATATTTAATTTTAAATAATATTTAGATGATTAGTTTAGAATGAAAAAATGAGAAAATAAAATGCAAAAAAATATATATTTATGTATATATAAATTTATTTAATAATATATTATTAAAAATAATATTTACATATTTTATTTTTTTAAGAAGTTATATATATATTTATATGTTTTAATTAATTATAAAATAATAATATTTCTTGATAAGAATATTTATATTACTTGTATATAAATATTATTTTATTTTATTTGTATTTTTTTTTTTATAAACACATCGAAGTAAAGGGAATTATCCAATTTTTTATACATTCATTGATTTTTTTTTTTTAAAAAAAAAAAATAATAACAAATAATAAAAATAATTATAAAAAAATATATGAATATATATTTAGAAAGATTATTATATATGTAATAAAATTATTACAAACATTTTAATTGCTAATTTTAATAACTATATAAATCTATTAAATTATTTCCTAATAAATTACCTAAAAAGCATTAAGGATTTTAGCACTAGTTTGAAACCCTTCAATTTTAATAAAAATTACTCATCCTATCTAATTTTATTTTTCAAAATTATTACAACTTTGGTATCTCTTTTATAAAAAAAGGTTTTTAAAAATATTTTGACTTTGAGAGACATCTCGTTTAAAAACGTTCAACCTTGAGTATTTTTTCAGAGAAGCAGGGGGGAAATATTGATGGTTTATATTTTACATTATAACTTATTATCTTCATATTTTTTTGTTCATGTCAATCCTTTAGATGTTAGAAATAATATATAAATTTAATACACAAAGATAAAAAGTAATATACCACATAAAATTAGTATTTTATTGTTACCCTTATTTTATTTATAGCCTCAAGAACCTAACTAATACAAGGGATTTAATCAATATATTTAATTACAGTATTGTTTAAATGGGACACACACTGGAGACTCTAATAATAATAATTAATTATTTAATTTTATTAAAAAAAAAAAATCATAAAAATACAAATATTTAATATAATAAATAAAGATTTTAATAATAATTTTTTATTAATATTAAATCTAAATACTAAAAAAGTAAATTATATATAAATATATATATATATATATATATATATATATATATATATATATATATATGTATTTAATTAGGAGTATTAACTTTTATTCATCTTAATTAAATATATTTATTAGGGCTTTTAGAGTATATAATAAAATTTTAATTATTTTAAATAATTATTTTTAATTTGTTAAATTAAATAATTATCAATTTTTTATCTTTAGTTTTGTTATATTTTTATAACTAGTTTAAATACTAAATCTTCACCAAATATTTTTATTTAATAACTTTTTATAAGTAAATTATTTTTATTGCTTTTATTAAATAATAATATATTAAGTTTATTGCATTGGGAATATAAATTATTTTATATTTATTTATCTCTTTTTAGTTAATTTTATTTTTTACTTTTACTTTTGTTTTTAAGTTTGATTTTTTAAAAAAACCTCGAATATCTTATTTTAAAATAAAATATTTAAATAATAATTAGATAAACTCCTAATATTTAAATTTTTATCAAATATATAAATTTATGTTAAAATACAATTATTTTATTTAATTATAAATATTTAAATAATATTTTTTTAATTATAAATAAATGAGTTTAATATTCAATGTCAGATTATGTAATTATAAGTATAAATTTCTTTTGTTATAATATAAATTCATTAGATATTTTAAAAAATTTTTTTATTTAAAAAAATATAATTAAATTATTTGTTAATTAATAGAAATAATAAAAAAAAATATTTAAAAAATAAAATAATTAATAAATTTATATTATTTATTTAAATTAAAAATATTTTCTTAATATAGTTTTTTTATATGAAACTTTATTTACTCGTTATAAATATAACATTAGTATTAAATTTTAATATTTCAATTAGAATAAAATTTGCAGTAAATTTTTTAATGTGGAGATATAAGAATTTTTGGATAATAAGAATAATTTTTAAACAATAAAAAAAAATCTAATAATTAATTAAATTCCTTTTATGAAAAAAAAAAGAACTTATTTTGTATAAATAATAATTAAAAAAAAAATTCTTACATTAAAAATAATTTTTGAAACCAATAATTATTTTTATTATTAAAATTAATAAAGTAATTTTAGGTTTTGCAAAACTAAGTATTCAATGTTTATCTTTTAATTTAAATGTTCTTATATATTTTATATAAGATAATTTTAAATTTAAATTATTAGAATAATTTTGTATACGTCTATTTTTAAAAAAATAGAGATTAAAAGAAAAAAATATAAAAATATAAAAAGAATAAGAATATATATTTAAAAATATAAAATAATAATAATAATTTTTATTTTAAAAAAAAACAAATTTTATAAATAAAGTAAAAATAATGTTTTCAAGTGGATTCGGAGGATTTAATTTTGGATTTGGTGGTGGAAGTAGAGGAAGCTATGATAATGATTAATTTGATTAAGGTATAATAAATAAATACAAATATTTAAATTAAATATAAAATAAATAAATTTAGAAGATAGTTAAAATAATTAAGAACAGAAAAGTGTTGATACTCAAGAACTTTATAATATTATTGGAATAGATAAGAAGGCAGATATTAATGAAATAAGAAAATAATTCAAAAAATCTTGTATAAAAGGAGATTATCGTCATCCCGACAAAGGTGGTGATCCTGAAAAAGTAATAAAAAATAATTAAATAAAAAAACCTAATATAATAAAAAAAAAAATCCAAAATAATAAAAAAAAGTTCAAAAAACTAAACGAAGCTTACGAAATATTAACAAATCCGGAAAAAAGAGATGTTTACGATAAATATGGTTTGGAAGGTTTGAAAGAAGGAGGAGGTAGTTAAGCAAATAATCCTTTTGATCTTTTAAGTAATTTATTTGGAGGTGGCGGAAGCAGAGCTTAAGCACAAAGGAAAGCAAAAACAAAAGAACATACTGTAGAATTGACATTAGATGATGTATATAAAGGTAAATACTTAAAAACATCATTTAAAAGATTAAGAACTTGTGAAAAATGTGAAGGAAAAGGAGGTGTAAATGCAAAAACATGCATAAAATGTAAAGGATAAAAAATTGTTATTAAAATGGTAAGATTAGGACCTAATACTTATTCTTAAACTTAATAATATTGTGACGAATGTGAAGGAAAAGGAACTACTATGAAAGAAGAAGATTAATGTAAAACTTGCAAAGGTTAAAAAATAGTTGAAAATTTAAAAGAATTAGAGGTCCCTGTTGAACCTGGTGTTCCTCATGAATACTCTTATAAATTTGTTGGAGAAGCTGATGAAGCAGTACTAATTTTTTTTTATTTTTTTTATATTTTTTTGTGAAGCCTGGAATTTAAGCTGGTGATTTATATGTGAAAATTGTTATTAAAAAACATAAATTATTTGAAAGAGTAGGCGCCGATCTATATATAAACAAATCTATTACACTATTAGAAGCTCTAAGCGGATTTTTTATTGAAATTGAGCATTTGGATGGTAGTAAACTTAAGATTGCTTCACCTCCAGGATATTATATTACTAATGGATAAATTAGAACTATAAAAGGTAAAGGAATGCCGTTTTTCAAAGATGCTTTTTCATATGGAAATTTATATATTAGATTTAAAGTAAATAATTATTTTTTTGAATTTTATTTTAATATTTTTTTTTATATAATAAATAGGTTGAATTTCCTAAAACTAAAGAATTCAAACCTGATATGGTTAATTAATTAAAGTAAGTTTTAACTGGAAACAAAAAATAAGAGAATATCGAGAAAGGCAAAAAATTAGAGTATATGTAAAATTATTAAGTTTCTGATTTAAATCCTAATCCAAAAGGAGGAAGTAATAATTTACTTATAAATTTTATGATAATTTTTTTTTTATAAAGAAAATTAAGAATAGGATGATAGTGAAAATGATAGACATGATAGAAGAGGACATACTTAAAATCTATAATGCGCATAATAATGATGAATAAAGAAATATAGTTATATTTAAATATTATTTTTTTATAAATATTGTTTTTATTTCAAGTTTAACTAATTACAATTTTTTTTTTAACTAAAAATATAATTAATATTATTACAAAGTTTAATGTATAAATATTTGCTTTTATTATTTTTTAAATTTTAAATAATATTTTTTTTTATTATATTTATGTTTATAAAAAATAATAATATATATTTAATAAAAAATCAATATATGTATATATAAAATACTTCATATAATTAATAATTTTCAGATTATATATATATATATATATTAATAATTTTAAATTTATATAATAGTATTTTTATTATTTTTTTCTTATCGTCATTATAATAAATTATAATTATATTTTCAAATTAATAAAATCTTGTTAATTCTTAAAAGCTAAATTAATAATATATTCAAATGATAAATAAATTAAGAAAAAGGTTTCTATAATTTATTTATATGCTTTAATCTTAAATATAATATATATATTATTATAAAAATTATATTATTAATAAAAATAAAACATATATATTAAATATATATAATGGGAGGATAATAAGACAAATAATAAGCACCACCACCACCTACAACTCAAGAGATACTAATCGATATGAAATTAGCTGCAAAGAGTTTTGAACGTGATGCTAAAAAAGCTGAAAAAGAGAAATAATAATAATATTTAAAAGCTTAACAAGCAATAAAAAAAAATAATGAAGAAGGAGCTAAATTATATTTGTAAAATATGATGTAAAAAGATAGAGAAATGAAAAATATGTAAAGAATGTCTTAAAAAATGGATGCTTTATAAATGTAAATAAAAACAAATACTTCCAATACTGCAATGATAGAACAAATTTCTAGAATTACTCCTTTATTAGGTTAATAAGCTCATATGATGTCTCCAGAAGCTATATATTCTAATATGGATTAATATGAAAAAGCTATGGATGATATATTAGTTGGAGGTATTTATTTATATTTAATTATATTTTAAATAATTTGAAATAGGAAAAATTATGGATGAAGTAATGAATAAAAATTAAGATAGTGATGTTAATGGTAATATTGCAATCGATGGTATGCTTAATTAATTAAAACTAGAAAATATGAATGAAATTAATAATATTAATGATAATAATATGGTCTTTAATGAATTGAAAAATAATGAATTAAATAATTAGTAAATGAATAATAAATAAATAATTGACAATAATTTAAAAAAATGAAGAAATAGAAAAAAAAAAAAATTATATATACATGCATATTAATAATATTTTATTTTTTGATTTTAATTAATTTTAAGAAAAATACAAAATGTTTATAATAGATTTTATTTTTATTTATAATTTTTTTACTATATTTTTTTTTTTTATTACATTTAATTTTTGTTTTTAATAACATAAAGTTTATATTTTATTCTTTAAATACAATAAAAATAATTCTATTAATTTAGAAATTAATTTGCAAATTATATAAAATATAAAACATTATATATATGTATATAAAATACAATTTTCAAAAATAGCTTTTAGTACTATGCTATTTAATTAAAATATTAACATTTTTTAATTTTTACAACATTTAAAAATTATTATAATTATTTATTATTAGTTTTATAAATTTGGTTTTAAAACAAATTATTCTATTATAAAATTAGTAAAAATGAAAAAAATTACAAAAATCGCAAAAATTTCATAGAAATCAACAACCTATAAAGAAAAAATAAAGGGCATTATAACAAAGTATAATTCATATTTTTATAATGCTGAAAAAATATTTAGTAATAAATATTTTAATAAAAAAAGAGATGATATTTTAGAAGCAGATAATTTATTATAAAAATAAAAAACCTAAACAGAAGAAGGTAATATAAAATTTCATAAAAAATAATTAAATATAAAGTCAATAATAAAGATAAAAATCAAAAAAGTAGAATTTCATCATAAAATACAAGAAAAAGGAGAAAATTATATATTTAATTATTAGAGAAGAAAGTAATTTAAAATATATTAAAATACTCGAAAATATTAAAAAAAGGTCGACTAACTATAAGAATAGTTATTATAAGCAAATCAGTTATTAAAATCCCAACAAAATTCATAAAAAAACGGATAAAATTCGCAAATAGTATTAATTAATATTTTTTGTAGAAAATTAAAATAAAATAAAAAATAGATGATTAATCTATTAAATGAAAGAAAACAACTATTTGATAAACTTGAATAAGCTGTTCAAAGTAAAGATGATCTACAAATAAGCTGTATAGTTGATTCCTTAAGAGTTTAACATTTTATAATGTTTATTAACTTTTTAAATTTTATTATTATATATAAGCTTAGATTAGGATTATCTGGTAAAACAAGAAATTAAGCCTTATATTCATTTTTCGATGAAATTGTAAAACTACTAATGCCATTTCATATGAAATATTTACTATATATTGCTTAAGAAAGTATTTATTTTTATAATTTAATAATGTTTGATTTTTTTTTAAAAAAGATTTGGAAATATTTAATACATAAAATAATGAATAATAAAAAAATAATAGTTAATCGTGGTTTTAAAACATATAAATGACAGAAGGTTAAATATTTTAGATTAAGTAAAAAATAATGAATTCTTAAGCTTTATACGATAAAATATTAAATTAACTAGATTAAGTGAAAAAATAAATTATAATTTAAAACGAATTCGCTTAAAATTTTATTGATGATTTAAGAAATTATTTTCCTCCTATTAATATTGCAAAGCTCCTTATTGATTTAGATAAATAAAGAAAAAATTATGAAAATTAATCGTTTTATCCTGACTCTTATTGGAAAGATTTATGCGAAAAAAAAAATATTTATGAAAATTAAATCTATATAAATCAAAATTAAAATAATAATTAATTTAATAGAGACAATTATATTGATCAGGATAATATTAATTAATTTAGATTTTAAATAAATTAAAATAATAACGATAATAGTTTTTTATTTTATTGATTTTTTATATTGTAATAATAAAATTATTTTAAAAAATTATTTATTTAATATTATTTTTGATATAAAAAAAAGTAAAAATAGCAAAACTCTTTTGAGATATTTAAAATTTATCATTAGATTATTAATAATAAATTTAAATTTGAATAATGCAAATTGTTTATTTTTAAATTTGAGTTTAAAAATAAAAAGATTATAGTTCATAGATTTAATCTAGATATTTTTAAGCTGTCTAAAATTTTTAGACTTCTTTAACCTTTTAAATTTTTAATTAACATATATATTCATTAATCAATAATTTATTTTCACATTATCGGCTTTTATGTTTAATATCAATTTAACAAAATATAGTCCGAAAAGCAATAAAAATAAAAGTATATTTATACATTATTTATTTAAATTACATATATTTTTTTATTTTATAAATATTCTATTAATAGTTTTATGATATCTAATTACATAAACATATTTAATATTAAGGTTATTAGATATTTAATATATATATAAAAAAAAATTAATAATATTTTTATTTTTTAATATAAATTGCTAATTATAAAAATAAATAAATGAATAAAATTAAAATTATAAAATTAAAAAATTTGATAAATAAATAAAAATTAAATTTTAGATTTTATAATTAAATTTTTTTTTAAGCCAATATGACTAATAAGTAATGATGATTTTTAAGGACAAATACTTATAATTTTCAGTTTTATTTTGATAAAAACTAATCTACTTCTTAGGCTTAAATAAGCCTTAAAACTGAAGAATTTTATTAATAAAATTAAATTCCTAATCTGTATTTTTAATCATTATCAAAACTGTAATTTTATAAAGTATTTATGTTTACAATATTTGGATAATCACAGAAATTCAAAGTATTATTTTAAATACATACTTCCATTAAAACTTATTAAATTTAGAATTTTTGCAAATTTTATCCTTTAATAACATTTTAACAATAAGCATCATTTTCTTGACCAAAGACAATACAAAACTTTCCAAAATTAGGATAGCCTAAATCTTAATTAATATCTTTTTCATTAACAAGACCAATAATTATATAGTTAGTTGGTACTTGATTAAATTCGAAAACAAATTAATATTTTTTAGTAGATTTTAGTACAAAATCACTATATATTTGTCCCTAAATATTATTACCTTAAATTTCTATTACATCATTTAATAAGACTTAAATACTCATTTATGATGATTAATAGATATAACTTTTCATAAATTTTATATTTTCAAGAAGTGTATTTTGTTTAAAAAAAATAAACCTTTTTAAATTGTTATTTATTCCTTAAAAATTTTCATCATTAAATTATATTTTAGTAATTTAATATTGTTTTTAAATATTATTTAGGTCAGTTAATATTTTTTCGTATTCTTTTTATTTTTGGTATCTTTTTTTTATAAAGTCATCTAATTATTCATTTAATTAATGATAGTTTTAAAAGTTTTATTATATTATTTTTAAAAATTCATCTGAACCTTCATATTCTTTATATATTTTTATTATCTAAATAAAGTTTTAATAGTTTTAATTTGCTATTTCTAAATCTCTTTTTTTAATTGTTAAATCTTTTCATAAATTGTATTTTATAACTTATTATAATGTGCTTCTATTATTTCATGTATTTCTTTTTGTTCTAGTTTTTATATAATATGCCTTAAATCTTTTTATAAAGGAGGCCAGTTTGGAGAATTCAGATTTATCTTCTTTAATATACTCATTATAGATATTAAAATAGGATAGTCAGACTCCTAAGCACAAAATAAACATAAAATACGACTTTTATTTAGAATATCTTCTTTAACATTTATCATTGTTAGTTCTTGTTCAGAATCATGATAAGGGCATAGCATTAATTTATTTATATCCATTTTTATAAAAGACAGTTTATTTTAAATAAAATTGAATTAAAATAATATTTATAAGTTTTTTATTTAAACAATACTTATTATAAATTATATATTTAAAATTATATATTATATATTATATATTATATATTATATATTATATATTATATATTATATATTATATATTATATATAAATGCTATGCTACTTAAATTAAATTTTTATTTGTATAAATACTTTTCATTTTATATTTAATCTATTATTTTTTTTTTTTTTTTTATTAAAATATTAATGTTATTAAATTTATTATTTACTTTCGGTATATATTCTCAGGTAGTTTTGTTGTAATAAATTTTATTTTAATTTAAATAATATTCTTTTTTTATTATATTTTATTTTTTTAATATTATATTCAATGTTTTAATATTACGTTATAAAATTTTCTTAAAATTAATTATATTATATTTTTCATAAATTATAATTTATTTAGCTTATTTATATTTATGTTTTAAATAAATAAAATTTAAGTTTTTTAAATATTTTAAAGTAAACTATATGATATTATAAAATTCTAAATAAATATATAATCAGTTTGTATTTATGGAGAGTTTTTTATTTAATAAAATAATATTTATGCAACTTAAAATTATTTCATAAGCAAAAACATTGTTTGCAACTTAATAAAGTTAAGTATTGAATATTTATTTAGATTTTTAAAATATTTTATATTAATTATTTCAATAAAAATTATTAGCCGATTAATATTTACTAAATGTGTAAATTATTTTATTTAATATTATTTTATATTTTTTATTTTTTTTAATAAAATTAATTATTATTCCTTTTTTTTTAGTTTTTGATTTGTATAAATATATTAATTTTTAAAATAATTATAATTAATTGAGGTTTTTATAATAAAATTTAGATTATATTTTTTTTTTTAGATCGAATATTAGAAATCCTCAATAATTAAGGCAGCCCTCATCAAAAAAAAATTAATATAACAAGAACAACTCTACTATTCTCATAAAATAATTTAAATTAAGAAATATATTCTAAATAATTATTTTTTTAGGCTTTAATCAATGAATTTTTTATTTTATTTTTAATTTATTTTTTTCTTTTATTCATTTTATTACAAACCAAATTATAAATTTTAAATTGATTTTTGTACTTTTAAGTAAATAGATTTTTTTAATAAATCTAGAAAAGATTATTGCTTTTTGCAACTATTATTATTACTTGAACATTTTTTTTTATTTTTATGTATTTAAAAAAAAAAAAATCAACTCCAATATAAAGGTCATTATATATTTTTTTCTTACTTTTAGTTATTGTTGTTAATTTATATAAAATACAGAAAAAATAAAAAAAAACTATATAAACAAATAATAGTTATTAAAAAAACTATATTTTAATTTAGTTAAAAATATTTATAAAATTTTATTTATTTTATATAAATTTAACATTTTTATTTTTTAATCATTTTTATATAATCTTTTTAAGAAATAAAATATATTACTGATGAACAAATAAATTAATACTAAATTTTAATATTTTTTTATTTAAGATAAGGGTTTTTTTTTGGTGGGAACGGTCGGGGTTGGAGGTATAAACTCTTTTTAAAAAACTAAGTAAAATAAATTAATGATTAAAATATTTGCTAAACTTAATATGGAAAGTATCATAATATTAATTTTCGCGACCTTCTTTTATGGTCATATACTAAGATAATATAATATAATTAGCATATATTTAAAATATAGTATTATAGAATACAAAAGAAAATAGTTTTGACTTTTAAAAAATCAATTATATGTATAATTAATTACTATATATTATATTTATAATATTAACAAATA